AGAAGAAGAAGAAGAAGAAGAAGAAGAAGAAGAAGAAGAAGAAGAAGAAGAAGAAGAAGAAGAAGAAGAAGAAGAAGAAGAAGAAGAAAGGAAAAGAAAGAAAATCTATCGTTTCTTTTATTAGACAGTTGAAAAGAAAGTTCATTCTTTTGGAGTTTCAGAACAGCTCAAAATGGTTGATATGTTTTGTGGTTTGTTCCCAAATTGAAATGACTTTCTAATCTCATTGTATTTGTGCGTGGGGGTCACATGGGCAAGGGGAGTGCAGGGAGTTGCATGCACATGAATTGCATTATGGATGGGTATGCTTGCTTTCGGCATGCGACGAGAAAAGCCATCCCTGGTATAAGCGATTAAGAGATGGGTGCTAAGGATCTTTATTCCTACCATATCTGAAAATAAATTGCAGGAAAAGTAGAAGGATCACTTTTATAACGTGTGCTTTGACAGGTGCACAGGAAGGCACAAATTCATTCTTATTGTGTAGAAACATTGAGACTGGAAGAAGGTAATGAAAAAAAGGGGAGATTTTAAGGTTTAGATTTTAGATTTCAAAGTGAAAGAATTAAAATCGAGATGGCTTGTTATCCCTTACTTGGGAGCACTCAATTCTTCCACTGATTTTTTTTTTTTAAGAAAACCATTTTCTTATTCAGATTTTCTTCCTGCTAAAAAAACCCCATGTTTTTATATGCATTTTTATAAACGTAGATAATAAAGACATACATAAATCATTTTTTCAAGATCTGCATTATTATTTAAATTTTGGTCTCCCAAATCCAAATTAAATATTACTACGGATAGTAACACTAGGCACTTTTCTACCAATTACACAGCTATTTGAATAGATTTTATTTCCCCCCCCTCTCCTAAAGTGCTATGAAAATTAGTGAGTGCCTTAGGTAAATACAGTAAATCTCTCACACACATGCACAAACACAAATGCATCTTCTTCTCTCTCGCAAAGAAATACACACAAATCTCTCTCACACACAAATACACACACATCTCTCTCATACACACAGATACACAGACAAATCTTTCTCTCACACATATAAACAGAAACCTCTTTTGCTCTATTTCTCACATAAATAAGTACAAATCTCTCTCTCTCTCTCTCACACACACACACACACAAATCTGTTCATTTTGCTCTCTCTCTCCCTCTTTCTCTCTCTCTCTCTCTTCTCTCTGTCTCTCTGTCTCTCTGTCTCTCTGTCTCTCTGTCTCTCTCTGTCTGTNTCTACTCTACTCTACTCTACTCTATTCTATTCTATTCTATTCTATTCTATTCTATTCTATTCTATCAGCCTGCTGACTTCATTGGAAGAGGTCTCTAGTGACTATCATTCCTGAAATCCAGACCACATCACAACATCCAGGAGACCGGAAGACAGCTACGATTCAGTATCAAAAGCAGTGTGCGAAAAACAGAGAAAGTGGATATTTCCTGTGGACAATGTTGGCCTTTTTTTTTTAAAGATGAACCAACCAGAGCATCTCATGGTTTCTCATAGATTATTTAGGCTGAGAATTGGAAATATTACAGAACCGATCTCTCTTTTCTAGCCAAAAAGATAGTCCTTACTGGCCTTGGCGATCATATTTCATTGCCAAACTAAACACTGAATTTGAACGATGTTGATTGAAAACATCATGCAGAAACACTGAAATGCTTCCAAACTTCCAAACTTATTTAGCCCGGACAGGTAGAGAGGGAAACGAAGGACGCACCTGATGCTAATTTCTCATTTTGCTCTGTGTCTCAGAAACCCCCAGGAGGGTTTATGAGCTTCTGCAGGTACACCTGTAAAACAGGTGATCTCCATTAGTCTGAAGTTCTCTACCAGGAGATTTGTATATTGGAGAATGGCTGGGTTTATTATTGATTGATTATAGGCTATGTATAAATGAGCAATTGGGTCTGGTTGATCTCATGAAATATTGGCCAAGATTGGGTTCTTTTCCTAGGTGAAATATTTAAAAAAAAAAAGGAAACAAATTTGAAAGAGAATTCTGGTTTATTCCTGTGTCTGTATCTCTCATCTGCTTTTTGGAGTGCACATTGGAAAGCAACTTCCTTCTTGTGCAAGACTTGTTCTGAGCTAGGCTTCCCAAGATCACGAAGCTGATAAAACCACTTTTGTTTAATTTAAAGAGAATTCCTCCCCAGGCTCCAGAGGCAAGTCTTTCCTTTCCCACAGTCTTTCAAGATAGTTCACAACTACTGACCTTTATCAGGCTTGGAGATTGGCCAGGCCGATATGTTTCAGACGCCGCAATACTTGGCAAGAATGGAGGAATGAACTAATTGTCTCCTGCAAACTCCACTCCCCGGTCGCTCCTCTTTTATTCCCTCTGGGAGGGGCCATTCACTGTCCACCTCTGGCCTTACTCCCAAGTCGACCCCTGTTCTTTAGATGTTCCCTTCATCTGGCAACTCTGCACATACGCACACTGGGAACAGGCTCCAGCTGTTCGTCTGCCTCACTGTTGTCTGACTCTGAAGACAGCTGATAACTG